CTAGGTACTTAGATACCCCAGACCCCTCAGGACCACCCCAAAACCCCCTCAGAATGTCCCCAGACCCCCCGGCCCCCCGCCCGTACGCAGGTTCCAGTCGGACAGCGTGTCGTCGTCGTCCTCGTCGTCGCCGTCCCCGTCGCCGTCGCCGCGCTGCTCCTCGTGCGCCAGCGTCACCGTGCGCGACTTGTGGAAGCGCGGCTTGATGTCCTGCTCGCTGTCCGGCACCGCCTCGTCCTCCTCCACGTCGCCCTGCGGGTATCGCGACACGTCGCGATGTGAAGTCGTATTGCGGCGTGACGTCGTCGCGTCGCGACGCAAAGGCTTTGCGTCGCGGTGCGGAGTCGTGGCGTGGCAGCGTGACGTCGTGGGCACCAGCGTGATGTCATCACGTAGTGGCGCGATGCTCTTATATCGCGACGTCATTGTATCGCGACATGAAGTCATGTCGCGGTGTGATGTCGTTGTATGGTGGCGTGACGTCACTGTATCGCGGTGTGATGTCATCGCGGCATGGCGTAATGCCGTTGTATCGTGACGTGATGCCATCGTATCACGACATAAAGTCGTTGTATCGTGACGTGACGTCACCATATTGCGACATAAAATCGTATAGCGGTGTGACATCACTGCGTGGCAGCGTGATGTCGTTGTATCGCAGTGTGATGTCATTGTATCGCGGCATTATGCCGTTGTAACGTGAGGTGATATCATCATATCGCGACATAAACGTCACTGTACTGTGATGATGTACCATTGGGCATCACGACATTGTATCGTGACGTGACGTCATCACACCAGGGCATAGCGCCGCTGTATTGCGAGGTGACATTGTCATATCGCGACATGAAGTCATTGTATCAGTGTGATGTCATCGTATCGTGGTGTGACGTCATCGTATCGTGACGCGAGCTCATTGTATCGCAATGTGACGTCATATTGTGGTGTGATATATCACGACATGGCCTCGCTGCATTGCGACGCAGCGTCACCGTATTGCAATGTGAGGCCGTTGTATCGCGACATGATGTCATCACACTGCCACATGACGTCATCGTATCGTGACGGGGTATCGCGCTGTGGCACGACGTCATCGCACCGCAACGTGACGGCATATCGCGATGCGACGCCATCGCGTCGCGACGTGACATCGTCGCGTGCCACATCGCGGTGTTAGAGCGCCCCGGAGTGACGTCACCGTATCGCGACATGACGTCACCGCGACCGCATTGCGGCATAGTGCCATCGTGTCGCGACACGACATCATCATATCGCGACGGAAAGTAGTTGTATCGTGACGTGACGTCATTGCGTTATGGCATGGTGCTGTTGTATCGCGAGATGACGTCGTCATATCGTGACATAAAGTCATATCATGATGTCATCGCATTATCGTGGCACAATACCATTGTATCGTGAGGTGACGTCATCAAATCGCGACGTAAAGTCGTTACATTGTGACATGACGTCATTGCATCGCGGCATAGCGCCGCTCTATCGCGAGGTGACGTCATCACATCGCGACATAAAGTCGTCGCATCGTATCGTGGTGTGACGTCACCACGTCATGACGCGATGTCGTTGTGTCACGTGATGTCGTCATATCACAGCGTGACGTCGTCGTATCGCGACATAACGTCATTGTATTGCAGTACGACGTCATCGTATCGCGACATTACTCCATCACATCATGGCATGACGTCACACCGCCACGTGACATCATCACGCCGCCACGTGACGTCATCGCGTTGCAACGCGATGTCGTCGCCGTATCGCGACATGACGTCACCGCGACAGAGCCCCTCCCCCGCGGCGGATCAGACAGTACGAACACGAGTGACCATCAGGGGGGTCAGTGCCAGGCTGTCATCACTTCCGGTGCCACCGGTGCTCCCAGTACAGCCCCAGTGCCACCAGTACAGCCCCAGTACAGCCCCAGTGCCACCAGTCCAGCCCCAGTACAGCCCCCAGTGCCTCCCCAGTGCTCCCAGTACCCCCCCAGTGCCACCAGTACAGCCCCCCAGTACCCTCCCAGTATCCCCAGTGTTCCCAGTACAGCCCCAGTGCAGCCCCAGTGCAGCCCCAGTGCCACCAGTGCTCCCAGTACAGCCCCCCAGTACCACCAGTGCCACCAGTACAGCCCCAGTACAGCCCCAGTACCACCCGTACAGCCCCCCAGTACCCTCCCAGTATCCCCAGTGTTCCCAGTACAGCCCCAGTGCAGCCCCAGTGCAGCCCCAGTGCAGCCCCAGTCCCTCCTGCCTTAGCCATGAGTTCCTGTGCCTCCAGCCCCTGAGCTGCAGGGCTGCAGGGAAGGTTGGAAATTTTGCTGGGGAGGAGACAAAGTGCAGCATGCTGGCCAAGTCAGATAAGGCTTTTACTTTTAAACCAAGCAATTTGGTTCAATTGCTGATACACACAAGCTATTTTTGTCTGAGGGAATTCATCAGTCAATTCTGGAACATCAGTATCCACATCAAAACTGTCACATGTGGTAGATGTCTCAGGAAAAGCAACTAGGATTGATAAAGTCTAATAAGGCCAACAAGGACTTCAGAGAAACTCTGGAAATTTGGAGCCCAGGCCAAGAACCCAACTTGGTAAGTCTGAAATTAAAACCTTTGCACCACCTCAGTCCCAGAAACTTCCCAGAATAAACATCACTACAGCTACCAAGAACATAGAGTGAACTGCAAAATAATTACACTCATCATGTGCCAAGGGAAACCTGACTGATTGCTGCAATGCTGATTAGTTGCCCCCCCTTGCTCTGGAGAGCATTAGCATGAAAGCAGAAATATCTGAAATATCAAGGTTATCTCTTTGGCAGGGGGGCTGAGGTTATTGTCCCAGGAAAGGCTTTGTTTCATCTCATCAGATTTCAGGATGGATTTTGGGGTTTATTTTGGGTGTATTTTGGGGTTTTTGGGGTCCCTCACTGCACCAGGTGCGCCGTGGGCTCAGGATGGATTTCAGGATGGATTTTGGGGTGTATTTGGGGTGTATTTGGGGCGTTTTGGGTCACTCACTGCACCAGGTGTGCCGTCAGCCCAGGACAGGTTTCAGAATGGATTTTGGGGTGTATTTGGGGCGTTTTGGGTCACTCACTGCACCAGGTGTGCCGTCAGCCCAGGACAGGTTTCAGGATGGATTTTGGGGTGTATTTGGGGCGTTTTGGGTCACTCACTGCACCAGGTGAGCCGTGGGCTCAGGACAGATTTCAGGATGGATTTTGGGGTTTATTTTGGGTGTATTTTGGGGTTTTTGGGGTCCCTCACTGCACCAGGTGCGCCGTGGGCTCAGGATGGATTTCAGGATGGATTTTGGGGTGTATTTTGGGGTGTATTTGGGGTGTTTTGGGTCACTCACTGCACCAGGTGTGCCGTCAGCCCAGGACAGGTTTCAGGATGGATTTTGGGGTGTATTTGGGGTGTATTTGGGGCGTTTTGGGTCACTCACTGCACCAGGTGTGCCGTCAGCACGTCCTTGCAGATGGGCTGCTCGGCCAGCGTCAGCCAGAACTCGCAGGCCTCCAGCGCCACGTTCTCGTCACTGTCCTGCGTCCTCTGCAGCATGTACTGCGGAGGGGCACAGGTGAGCTCACCTGGCACAGGTAACCCCCCGGCACAGGTAACCCTCACCTGGCACAGGTGAGCTCACCTGGCACAGGTAATGCCACCTGGCACAGGTAACCCTCACCTGGCACAGGTGAGCTCACCTGGCACAGGTAACCCCCCGGCACAGGTAACCCTCACCTGGCACAGGTAACCCCTGGCACAGGTAACCCTCACCTGGTACAGGTGAGCTCACATGGCACAGGTAACCCCCCCCAAACCACTCACCTGGCACAGGTAACCCTCACCTGGCACAGGTAACCCCCTGGCACAGGTAACCCCCCTGGCACAGGTGAGCTCACCTGGCACAGATAACCCCCCCCGGCACAGGTAACCCTTACCTGGGCACAGGTAACCCCCAAACTCCTCACCTGAGCATGGGTAAATGCCAAACCCTACTCTAAACCCCTCACCTGGGCACAGGTAACCCCCAAACCCTGCCCCACACTGCTCACCTGAGCACAGGTGAGCCCCAAAGCCCTCACCTGGATGGGGCTGTGCACCTGGGGCTCACCTGGATGATGCTGTACATGTGGGGGCTCACCTGGCTGGTGCTGTGCACCTGGGGCTGTACACCTGGGGCTCACCTGGCCAATGCTGTACACCTGGGGCTGTACACCTGGGACTCACCTGACCGGTGCTGTACACCTGGGGCTGTACACCTGGGACTCACCTGACCGGTGCTGTACACCTGGGGCTGTACACCTGGGACTCACCTGACCGGTGCTGTACACCTGGGGCTGTACACCTGGGGCTGTACACCTGGGGCTCACCTGGCCAATGCTGTACACCTGGGGCTCACCTGGATGATGCTGTACATGTGGGGGCTCACCTGACCAGTACTGTACACCTGGATGATGCTGTACACCTGGTGCTGTACACCTGGTGCTGTACACCTGGTGCTGTACACCTGGTGCTGTACACCTGGGGCTGTGCACCTGGGGCTCACCTGGATGATGCTGTACATGTGGGGGATCAGGCGGTCGATGCGCACCTCCAGCAGCATCACCAGCGCCCGGCACACGTTCTTCCTCACCTCGGGGTCCTCGTCCACCGCCAGCGCAAACAGGTGCTGGGGACGGACAGGTGAGAGCCCAGGGACCCCCAGGGACCCCCTCAGGGACCCCCAGGTGCTGGGGACGGACAGGTGAGAGCCCAGGGACCCCCAGGGACCCCCTCAGGGACCCCCAGGAGCTGGGGACGGACAGGTGAGAGCCCAGGGACCCCCAGGGACCCCCTCAGGGACCCCCAGGAGCTGGGGACGGACAGGTGAGAGCCCAGGGACCCCCAGGGACCCCCTCAGGGACCCCCAGGAGCTGGGGACGGACAGGTGAGAGCCCAGGGACCCCCAGGGACCATCAGGGACCCCCAGGGGCTGAGGACGGAGAGGTGAGAGCCCAGGGACCCCCAGGGACAGCCAGGGACAGCCAGGGGCTGGGGACGGACAGGTGAGAGCCCAGGGACCCCAGGGACCCCCTCAGGGACCCCCTCAGGGACCCCCAGGTGCTGGGGACGGACAAGTGAGAGCCCAGGGACCCCCACAGACCCCCAGGTGCTGGGGACAGCCCCAGGTGACTCCCCAGCCACCAGGTGTGTCCCAAGGTGCCAGGGACAGGCCCAGGTGATTCCCCAGGTGCCCGGGTCAGGTCCAGGTGCCCCCCCCAGCCCCAGGTGACCCCCAGGTGATGCCCCAGGGACCCCCAGGTGCCCCCACCTCGATGAAGGTGTCGATGTTCTCCATCAGCGCCTGCGCCCGGTCCATGATGAACTGGTTCACGCAGGCGATGGCGTGGGACCTGCGGAGGGGCAGGGGGTCACCTGGGCACCCCGAGACACCTGAGCACACCTGGGCACCCCCAGAGACACCTGAACACATCTGAACCCCCTAAACCCCACCTGGGCACCCAGAGACGCCTGAGATCCACATGAACACACCTGGGCACCCCGAGACACCTGAACACACCTGAGCCCCACCTGGGCACCCCGAGACACCTGAACACACCTGAACCTACCTGGGCACCCCCAGAGACACTTGAACACACCTGAACCCCCTAAACCCCACCTGGACACCCAGAGCCCAGAGACGCCTGAGATCCACATGAACACACCTGGGCACCCCGAGACACCTGAACACACCTGAACCTACCTGGGCACCCCCAGAGACACTTGAACACACCTGAACCCCCTAAACCCCACCTGGACACCCAGAGACACCTGAACACACCTGAACCCACCTGAGCACCCCTGAGACACCTGAACACACCTGGGCACCTCAGAGACACCTGAACACCCTAAACTCACCCAGGCACCCCCAGAATCCATCTGAACCCCCTGAACCCTACCTGGGCACCCCCAGAGACATCTGAACACACCTGAACCCCACCTGGGCATCCCCAGAGCCACCTGAGATTCACCTGTACCTCCCAGAACCCACCCGAACAACCCAAATCCCACCTGAACCCCCAGCCGTGCATTTTGGGGACACCCAGGGCCATTTTGGGGCTGCTCCCCAAGTCTGGCCCCTCCCCAAAAAAAAGGTGAGCAGGTGGCAGACAGGTGCACCCCACACCTGAGCCCCCCCCCCACATGAATTTGGGGATATTTGGGGGTCAGAACGTTTTTGCAAAGCAGAATTTATTCAAACCACCCAGAAACACCCCCAAAATCTCACTCTCCACCAGGTAAAGGGGCACAGGTGTGTGCCCACCTGTCCCACACCTGATTTTGGGGCTACAGGGAATTTTGTGAGCCGGGAATTTGGGGATCAGAATTTGGAGATCAGAACCCAACTAATTTTTGGAAATCAGGACTCTTTAGGGTCACCAAAACAGCAAAACACCCCCAATATCCCCAGGTAACAGGACACAGGTGTGTGCCCACCTGTCCCACACCTGATTTTGGGGCTGCAGTGCTTGAAGAACTGCAGGAATTCGGGGATCAGAATTTGGGAATTTGGGGATCAGAACGTTTTTACAAACCACCACAGAAACACCCCCAAAACCCCATTCTCCACCAGGTAAACTGGCACAGGTGTGTGCCCACCTGTTCCCCCCACCTGTCCCCCACCTGATTTTGGGGCTGCAGTGCTTGAAGAACTGCAGAATTTCGGGATCAGAATTTCAGAATTTGGGGACCAGAACACTTTTACAAACCACCACAGAAGCACCCCCAAAACTCCATTCTCCACCAGGTAAACTGGCACAGGTGTGTGCCCACCTGTCCCCCACCTGATTTTGGGGCTGCAGTGCTTGAAGAACTGCAGGAATTTGGGGATCATGACGTTGAGGGGCCGGTTCAGGGCGTCGCTGTCCAGCAGCTCCGAGGAATCCTCGCAGATTTTCTGCAGCGCCCCAAAAGCCCCCTGGGAGCACAGGTGGGGGGGGGTCAGCGGCGGCCACGCCCCCCCCAGGTGCGCCCAGGTGCCCGCCCAGGTGCACCTCGCAGGTGTTGTAGTCCTCGGAGTTGAGCAGGTTGCAGAGCTGGGGCAGCAGCTCCGGCCACATCTGCAGCTCGCCCTTGGAGGCGATGGTGGTGATCAGGATACCTGCGGGCAGGTGCATAGGTGAGCTGGTTTGGGGGGTTGGACGGGGTTTTGGGGGGGGTTTGAGGGAGTTTTGGGGGTTCAGACAAGTGCCCAGGTGTTACCCAGGGCAGTTTGGTGTCAGGGTTTTGGATGACACAACCACCCAGATGTGTCCCCAGGCGCCCAGATGTGTCCCACATGTGCCCAGGTGCCTTCCCCACGTGCCCCCAAGGTGCTCAGGTGTGTCCCCAAGGTGCTCAGGTGTATCCCCCAGGTGCCCAAGTGTTACCCAGGCAGTTTTGGGTCAGGAATTTGGCTCCCCCAAGTGCCCAGGTGTGTCCCCCAGGTGCCCAGGTGTGTCCCCCAGGTGCCCAGGTGTGTCCCCCAGGTGTTCCCCCGGTGCCCAGGTGTGTCCCCTGGGTGCCCAGGTGTTCCCCCGGTGCCCAGGTGTGTCCCCTGGGTGCCCAGGTGTCCCCCCGGTGCCCAGGTGTGCCCCCCAGGTGCCCAGGTGTGTCCCTCAGGTGTCCCCTCACTGATGGTGGCGCAGATGAGCGAGGAGGCGTCACCCAGGTGTTACCCAGGGCAGTTTTGGGTCAGGGTTTTGGGTCCCCCAGGTGCCCAGGTGTGTCCCCTGGGTGCCCAGGTGTCCCCCCGGTGCCCAGGTGTGTCCCCCCGGTGCCCAGGTGTTCCCCAGGTGTCCCCCAGGTGCCCGTGTGTGCCCCAGGTGTCCCCCCGGTGCCCAGGTGTGTCCCCCCGGTGCCCAGGTGTTCCCCAGGTGTCCCCCAGGTGCCCGTGTGTGCCCCAGGTGTCCCCCCGGTGCCCAGGTGTGTCCCCCCGGTGCCCAGGTGTTCCCCAGGTGTCCCCCAGGTGCCCGTGTGTGCCCCAGGTGTCCCCCCGGTGCCCAGGTGTGTCCCCCCGGTGCCCAGGTGTCCCCCCGGGTGCCCAGGTGTGCCCCCCAGGTGTTCCCTCGGTGCCCAGGTGTGCCCCCCCAGTGCCCAGGTGCCCCCCAGGTGCCCCCTCACCGATGGTGGCGCGGATGAGCGAGGAGGCGTCACCCAGGTGGTTCAGGCACTCCTGCTTGATGAACTCGGCCACGGGCGGGGGGAAGCTCTGGAAATGAGCCTTGACGTTGTTCTTGAGGATCAGCCCGCTCAGGGAGCGCGTGGGCTCGTCTGGGGGGGCAACGGGGGGCGTTGGGGGGTGGG